GTGGCAGCAGGTAAGAGTAGCAAATGAACAACAGAGGGTAAGAAGGCCGCTAGACAGGAGAATAAGGGGCCACAGTATCAACCTGAAAAACTATCACCCCCATCGGATTGTATGCTGGTGGCCATGAGCTGCCATGATAATTTAGGAAATAGCGCTCAATGATCATCATCATGTTTCTCAGTTGTGAGTAAAAGAGCAGCCCTGTAAAAAAAACAAAAAAATATCACTACAGGGTGAACAAGCTGCAGGGGAAGCACGTATTGTACCCACTCCAAAGGGTTTAATATCTGCAATGGCCAGAGAACAGTGTAGCAGCAGCATCCCAAGACTGGGCACACTGGAAAGTTAAGTATAGATGCTCTTCTTTACAGGGATGGCTTTTTTTTCTTTGCAAGTGGTTCTGTGGTGACAGGGTTACTTTAGGTCAGGGGTAAGCAACCTTGGCCTTCTGGTTGTGGTGAAACTACAAATCCCATAAGGCATTGAAAGACCATGACAGCCACAAGCATGACTCCCAGAGGCATGATGGGATTTGTAGTTCCAAAAAAGCTGAAGTTCCAATGTTGCCTATTCCTGATTTTACTAAGGTTGTGTATTTGTGAGCCATGTAAATCTGAAAGAAAAGTACATGCTAATGCCAAACAAATAAAAAAAGAAATTGCATGCAGAAGGCCCTCATAACTACTGCAGGTATAAATCTAAAGCCATAAAATAGCCATAAGAGAAGAAAGGTTCTTCTCTACCAGATGGCCTGTGGACCAAAATAGTTCTGTGAAGGAGCAGACATATGGGTCCCATCAGCAATGGCAGCCACTGGCAATAATGTATTATGCCCAAGACCTATGTGGCAATCTATAGATTCCTGCATAGTCTCTGCTGCATTGACTGCTGGTTCGAGAAATGTTTTGCTTAATGGAATCATTGTGTGAACTCATATCTATAGTTATGAAAGACACACTGTTGATGCGTACAGTGGAGATTATTTAGAGTGCAGAAATATGAATATATCCCCTTGTCCAGAATTAAAGGGTAAGGAAACCTTCTCACCCCCACCACCCTAGGTAGGTCCAGCCTCCCTGAATTGCTATACTTGCTTTGATCTTGCTCGGGGTCAAACGGCATGGTTTACATCTTTGTCAGCTTCTTGACCTGATATCCACTTTTATTGAGCTGGAAGACTGATAGGAGCTGATCCGTCTACCAGCCCCATAGAAGAATGTGGGAATGTTTCCTTACCCTTTAAAGAAAATTATATGGTGCCTATATACTGCCAAGTGCATAAGCAGAAGATGATCTCACAAAATCCTTTTGTTTTTGTGGCTGTTACAGATCCCCTGTGACCTGGCCAGGTTATATTTATTCATCATCCAATAACTTATCCACAAGCAAAAACAAAAAATTGAATTTGCATGAGCACATCCTGGAACCTTCTGCAAAGATTTTACCGTGGGCTCACATGGGTTAAGAATAATAAATTACATAGGGGATTTCACAAATCGTTAATGTGAGGCTAATCCATCTTTTTTGTTCTGGGATATGAAAATTGAGTCTTCTTAAAGGAGATAACGGTGCCACAATGAAATCAGGAGGTTTTATTTTCCTCTTATCCCCAGGGCAAACATGTCAGCCTGCTGACGTTTAGGAAGTCTTGTTGATTTTTAGCATTTAGAGGTTTAATATACTTCTTCAGAATCCTAGACCTTTTATTAAAATGTCATTTTGGTGGCACCAATTTAAGTCTTTGAATGCTGACATGTCTGCTGGAGAAATGACAGTTCTTTTTGTTTTTTACCTTTTACAAATGAGTGTTCTTTGTAGCTGTCTGACAGTGAAGTGAAAGCTCCAGAACAACCTTTTTTCCTACTTCCGGTGATTGGCGCTCTTCTCCGGAGTTAGTTTCTTTTACAGTACAACCCCTCCTTTCCCAGGATAGTTAATTTTTTTGCAGGGTAACCCTATTTATGATATATATATATGTGTGTGTGTGTGTATATATATATATATATATATAATGTGTGTGTGTAGGGCGGGCGGTGAGTGTGAGGCGGGGAGGAGGTGCGGCGTAAAGAGCGTGGATGCGGGCGGGTCAGGCAGCGGCGAGCGTGAGGTGGGGAGGAGGTGCAGCGCGCAGCGTGTGTGGAGCCTTGAACAGGGCCAACCTATCAGAAGCCGATTAATCGATTATTGAAAACGTTGACAACTTTGTCAATAATCGATTATAATCGATTATGTCGATTAGTTGTTGCAGCCCTAGTAAATATAAACTTTGTCGTAGGTCTACACGTATAAGGTCCAGAAGCCATGAGCATTATAAGATGACTATACAGAAAGTCTAATTTGCACATTATACAATTGCTTTTGGTATAAACTACATCCTCTGTGGTCCATTTATACATACAATGGCTCTAACTAGGAATGCACAGATACCAAGTATCGTACAAGTACTGATACTTTTGCAGCTCCAAGACTACACCAGAGAAAAACTCAAAAGTTTTTGGAGGCAGCTGTCATTTTTAAGGAGCATTGGCTACGGGGGTTCTGGGATTTGTGCATCCCTGTTTTAATGTATGATTTGTTACTTAAATATATATTCACCAATATTAATTTTTCCAGATTAAGTACAAGTATCAATACTTGTCCTCACGGGTACTAATTACTGATACTTTAACTTTGTGACCAGTTTTTATCTAATGATTTCAGGACAGTGGTGGAGCGCCAGAGTCAGGTCCCAGCTGCAACCCTGTTAGTTCTTGTGAAAATGCCAATTATCGGCACTGGTATCTGTGCATCCCTAGCTCTAACACTGCATACCTTAGCAGAATAATATGGTGGCTGAGAAGGAAAAACAACCTTTGCCACTCTAGCAAAAAAAATAAATAAAAAAAATGTTTTCGTTTTGAATAGATAGGCACTTTAAGAACATATCGATAAATAACCATGCGGTTTGCTGAACCTGATTGATTTTGAACTATACATTTATTTAAAAATTATTCTATAAAATGTTTTACTGTTCTAGGAAATAAGCAGGTGAAATACTCTACAATCCTTCGCTATTTTCTTGGTTTTTGGTACGGTTAATATTTTATGTTTACAATGATAATTTAGGATCACATTTTAGTCCCATTGGAGGATCTTTTATTGTCAGGCCATGCCTTTCTCTCAGATTTCATTCTTCTGGTAAATTTGTCATTTATAATGCAAGTCCTTGAAAGATGATTTTGCTGGAAAAGCTTGACATTTAAAGTTTAATGCCAGGTTTGTGATTGCTAAATGGTGAATCTATTAAATACTATTTTTCTGCTGCTGTGAACTCATTGAAGAGTGACAGTAGCTGGTGTCACCGGCCCTTCATTCTGCTACACAATGCTTCAGTGATAATTAGGACTGTGCTATCACTGCTCACTATGGCATAAAGACATTTGACTAAATAAGAAAAGGCAATAGAAACCAGTTAGATTGCCGAGGAATACATTTGTGTTCATTATATTACAATTCATTCTGTAGCAGTTTGTGTTTTTTCATTTAGCTTCCATTCCAAGAGGGGATGAGGAGCCGAATATTGCTGCGTGAGGCAACAGTAGGTTGATAAGCTAGACAGCCTGTCACGACACTACTGAGCTACTATGGTTTTCTAGTTACTATTGCATCCATCCTCATTTCTACTCTATATGGGAAAATGCACTTGCTTTTCAGGTACCCAAGTGATATATAGCTGCATATAAACGCATGCAATGTCTAGGTCTGTTGGGGTGTCATTAAGAAACAATGGCAGCGCAGCACCATTAACATTGCAACATGCAATGCTGGATCATGTGCAGCAAGCACACACGTTCTCACATCGCATACATGTGAACGGAGCCCAACAAGTCTTCCCTCCACCCCCAGCTTGTGACTGGACAGTGAAGTAACAGAAGCATACTGAGGTCAACTCTCTTACTCTGCTTTCTCATCCGATCAGAATGTTTTTTGCACTGCAGCACAACTAATTGTCTCCTTCTTTAATTACTTGCACTGCTTAAATCTAAAAGAACACATTTATGGTTGTATTAGTGATTACAGAGCTGCATTAATGCCTTTTTTTTTTGTCTTGTCTTATATATGTATATGCCTATGGTTCACTTTTAGCTGTCAGCTCTTATACATCCTCACAAACTTGATAAATCAAGTATATGGAGTTTATGGACTTCATGCTGTCCATTGGCAAGCAACTCTTTTACCAGGGAAGAGTAAGGATGTAAGAACTACCTGTTCTGATAAGTATTGGAAGCCAAAGCTGCGAGTCCTGCTGCTGATTTTTAAAATATTCTTTTTCTGAACAGATTGTAAAGAAATATGGTGAATTTCTATCCATTTTATTGCTCTGTTTCACTTATCTCTTACTGAACTTTTTATACTGCTAAATTATAATATTCTTAAATCTGATATGTGTTATATATGTTAAATCCCTGGCAAGGCCACAGGGATCCTGTAATGCATAGTGGTAGCCACAGCTACTATAGTTTATTACAGCTTCTTCCGGGTCCGGCTATGATGAGCGACTTGCCTGTGCTGTTTAAAACACTGCCAGTCGCTCACTAAATATTGCGGCCATTCGGCGGACTCCTAGTATTTTTCTCAATGCATACTAGATGTTCTCTGATTGGATGAGGGCTGGTGCTCTGCCATCCTCTACATGGCGGCTATACACAGTGTAAACGTAGCTTTGCCACAGCATAATGTAAATGGAGTAGAAATGAAAACTGAATTCTGAGTTATGAAGTCGTGTAGATTAGTGCAATTCTGCATGTCTGCACTATGAAATGGACCATTTACCTAATAATAAATTCTTATATGCCTCTTTCTGGCAAGAAGAACATCTCTGTTAGCCATTAATAGGATTTGAACTTTAAGTTTGGAGAATGGCTAAGCCAGATTTATTTTCCTCCTAATAACATGTGTATTTAAATTAGTTTATAAATAAGTGTATTACATTGCTTGTTTTGTTCATAATGTTTCCATAGGTAGTCATTGTTGAAGACTATGCAGACCCTTTTGATGCAAAACAGGGCCCAGGGAGCCAGGCTACAGCAGAGATCGTAACAGAGAATGATGGCTACATGGAACCATATGAGGCTCAGAAAATGATGGCAGGTAAGAAAATAGCTGCATTTAGGTATTCCAGCATTTCACTTCTATCCCTACTTTTGGTATGCTTTCAAAGATCAACTGTTCTGATATCAGTATGGTTAATTACACCAGTAATAATACCAATGTGACAAAAGACCATTGTAGGTACAGTGTGTTTGGCTGCACTGGGGGTAATACAAAGCAGTTTGGAACGGGTCAGTAAATCTTCTATGCCTTTTGATCAAAGGCAAATGTTGCATGAAAAAATGTTTTCTTTAATCTTCTAATATTTTATTTAGCATAGGAAATGTGTGAACTTGCCCGTGAATAGTTCTAATATGCATAGTTTCCTTTTCCATCTCCAGATGAATTTAGAATGAAATACGAGGTTAAAAGCTTTAATCATGTAAACTAATACCTAGAATAAATACTTTAAATTATTAATGGCTTGTTGATCCTCTGCACCATTTAGATTTATACATGAAACTGTGTGTAAATAAAGCTGTTGAATTCAATCATAAAATTTTTTGAAAGCTAACATATAATGTAATGAGGTTTTAAAATGTCCTTATGTTTACAGTACATGTTGGCAAACCTTTTTTTATTTTATTTAACTTGAATAGATCTTAATTAGTTCCTCCAATTCATAAATAGATTACTTTTTGATTCACTGGTGTATATATATTTTGCTATAGAACGGGGAGGATTTGGTGCCTGCTTGTGTGAAGATTTTCCAGTAATATAGGGTTAAGGAATTAAACCAGCCATTCTCAGCCACGGATCTTACCTTGTCTACGATCCCCGCTGTGTCCTCCGTCTTCTGCTGAGTCACTCACTGCAGGCTTTCTATTCATTAATACAGGCTTTGTATTAATACAAGCCTGCCGTGATTGCGCCGCGACCCGTGATTGCGCCGAGACCTGTGATTGCCGTGATGGCGCCGCGACCCACTGCAGAAGGGCTCGTGACCCATGAGTTGAGAACCACTGCTCTAAAGATTGCTAGGCACTCCTTGAACATTGGGCTGATTTTTCTTCTGACTGCATTGTACTGCCACCTGTGTCGCTCAGCAATGACAGCAGTGTGGGGTCATTGGAACCTCTCAACATTTCACTTTTCTGTTCAATAGTTTTTTATTGTTGCAAATAAACAGAGATGTACACAAACAAATTTAATAAAATGGTTGTACAATAACATGGAGTAAGAACGGATCAAATACTTGAAGTACATTTGACAGAGAGAAAATACCCTGGGTAGCATGGTTGAGGATCATATTCAGAAGAAGGACTATAATTGGATTATAAAGATAATAATTGGCGGTCACAATGAGGGGGTAAGCATCGCGAATTCCATGGATCCCAAACTCTATGGAATTTAACCATGGAGTTGGATAGTTTTAGCTGAAAGCTTTTCATTTGACATGGTGGAATGAACTCAAGATTTAACTTCATAAAAGTTTAGGGATGGTGATTTCCAGGATTTGAGTCAGGATATGAGTCATTAAGGCAAATTGGCAATTAAGGAGACCGGGCGGTTTTAAGTTTAGTAGGACTACACTGGGGGGGAAGGAAGATGGGGTGAGAAAAAGAGAGTGGAGGAGTCTAAAGACTTTACGCCAAAAGGTTTGGGCTATTGGGCAAGACCACCAGGTGTGAAGTACAGTGCCATGGTCGGAACATCCACGGAAGCATAGTGGGGATTGAGCGGAGGACATGGACGCAAGCCTAGTGGGAACCAAGTGCCAACGGAATAAGACTTTATAATTACATTCCTGGGCATTGGCGTTAGGAGAGCAGGATTTAGTGGTGTGCCAGATTTGGGACCACTGGTCCTGGTCCAGAGTGATATTTAGATCTTTGGACCATGCCTTCATATAGTTATGGGATGGGGGGGATCGTCCAGAAACTAAGGTGTCGTATAAAACGGAGATAATTCCACGTGCGTGTGGCGAATCTTCACATATTTGTTCAAATGTCGTGCGTGTGGGTTTAGGAGGGAAACAATGAATTAGTGTAGTGATGTAATGTTTAAGCTGTAAGTAGCGGAATATTTCTGAGTTCGGGAGACCTAGTTTGGTCTGAAGAAGCGGGAAGGGGGACATGCCGACTGGGTCTAGCAAAGCTTGAAGACGAAGAGGCCCTTTGGAGGTCCAGTGGGAGAATGAGCCAGGATTCTCCAGACCTGGAGAGAAGGCGGGGTTACGTAATGGGGATAGTAGAGGAAGATGTGGTGATATGAGTCCCCCCGAGTATTTTATGGAGTCCCAATTTTTAGAGTGTTTAGTGATCGGATTCTGCAGAGCTCGTCTATCAGGAGGGGGAAGCCATAGTACATTGTCGATGCTAATAGGATCGCAATCAATGGCTTCCAGGGCTACCCAGAGAGGAACTTCAGAGGTTGCTTGGAAAGGGTAGCTATTTGGGCTGCGTGATAATAATGCAATAAATTTGGGACACCCAACCCACCGCGTTGGCGAGGGTGAAATAGGGTAGATTTTGATACCCTAGGTCTTTCATCAAACCAGATAAATTTCAATATTTGGCGCTGCAGAATCCGAAAAATATGAGTGGGGATTGGGATCGGGAGAACTCATAAGAAGTAGAGAATTTTAGGTAGGTAGGTCATTTTAATGGCTGCGATACGACCCAACCATGATAGGGGATAAGATTTCCAGGAGGAAAGCATAAGAGACAGTGTACAGAATAATGTAGGGTAGTTGGCTGTATATAGAGATTCTAGGGAATCAGTGAGGTGGATACCTAGGTATTGAAGGCCTGAATTTGCCCATGGGAAGGAAAAAGTGGATTGTAAGTGTTGTGCGTCTGGTGTAGAGAGGGAGATATTGAGGGCTAGGGTTTTATCTAGATTAATTTTGAGGCCAGAAAGTGATCCAAAATGGGTGAGCAGAGATAATAGGTTAGGGATGGACACTACAGGATTGGTGAGGAATAACAGAATGTCGTCAGTTAACAGGCACAATTTGTGGGACTGGCCAGCTATAGAAAGTCCAGAAATATCCGCGTGTTCACAAATTAGTTGAACATTTCACTTTTTAGTTGTCTGCAAGGGGGCATTTTTCCCACTGACCTCCAGTGTAAGAGGCACTCTTGCCACTGACCCTCCCCATGACCATCAATGTAAGAGGTAACTACAGTGATGTAAGGGACACTATTCCCACTGATCACCAATGTAACAGGAAATTCTCTCCTCTGGCCACTACTATAAAGGGGCACTTCTCTCACCGACCACTACTGTGAAGGGGCACCTCTCCCAGTGACTACCAATATACGGGAGCTCTTCTTCCCCTGAACACCAATTTAAGGGGGCCCTTCACATGACCGACTGTGTGTGTGTGTCATCTTCCACTGACAGCCAATGAAAGGTGCAACCTCTTCCAATAATCCTCAATGTGTAGAGACACTACATTTTTCACTGTTTGAATCTGGTTTAAACTTAAGATAATTACAGAAAAAAGTTGTGTAGGACACGGTGGTAATAAACAATCCACTCAGGTTGTCCGATACCTTAACTACACCACATTGTTTTTTGTAATTTTGTTTATTACTATATCTAGAACTTACAGTTTACACTAATGTTCCCTGAGGTAGATCTATTCATTTTAATCGGGGGGTTCCCTGAGGCCTCAAGCTTATTTCAAGGGTACCTCTCTGGTGAAAAGTGTTGCGAGTTGGGCATAAATTTTACAAGCGGTCTACAGTACTTGTGACTAGCCGAGCTCATGTAATCAAGATACTTTGGATTACAAGAAGTTGGAAGCTCAATGTTGGCAATATATGCATTGGACTCTCATTCAGCGGATTATGACTGCCAGCCTGCACACAGTTGGATACCAGGAAAACCGTGTTTGCATGATAAGAAAGTAGCAAGTTGACATGAACCCCCAACATGAACATGGCTTTTCAGTCAACAAGATGGGGGACAGGTTAGTTTAAATCCCCAGAGACACCACAAGAAAGGCTGAACCACTTATATAATTAAGATATCAACAAATGTACTCTGAATAGCAAATAGGTGACCATATACATGTGCAAATAATAATCTTGCCGGTAAGCAATTAAAATATTATCCGTACTACAGGGCTTGACAAATTGTCTTTTAAATCCAAGAGCCAGCTAAAAAAAGCTAAAAGCCGGGTAA